GTCCCCGAGCTTCCGAAGCGTTTCGCAAATCCGTTTCTCTACACCGGAACCAAGCGCAACTTCGGAAATCTTGTTTTTTCTATATATGCTATATGATTGGAGTTGTTGCTCGTCAGTTATATATTAATAGCAATACGAATGCATGTCTTTCAATAGCTTTCCAAGAAAATGCTAAAAACTACTATTTCGTGAACTCCACAAAACCAGCCCTCCACGGCGTCACGTTCTGTATATATATATATGTATATAGAGGATTATATGGGGGACTGTTATAGGGTTTAGTGAGGGGGATACCAGGAATTCGGACTATGGCTCGCATGAGCTAGAGTCCCAACATGTTACGCTCTCACAGAAGGAACCACCTTGACTCAAACCGCACCCTAAAACCCTAAGCCCCCTGAATCCAAAAACCCTAAACCCCCTAAACCCTAAACCCCTGAGACCCTAAATCCCTTGAACCCTGGCAACCCCAGCCCCACAGCAACCATAAAATTGAAGCCAAGGTTTTCAAAGCCATTCAGAAACTGGCTGAGGTGGCTTCTAGGCTTTTGGATTCCATGGAGGTTTATGGGACTAAGGAAGTGATTCTGACTGGGCTTTCAACCCTACTGGGTTTACAACCCTACTTATTATCCTCCTAGTTGGCGATATATAGGTTACCCCAGTGTTGTATGGAGCTACAACCCCAGCGCGATAAGTAGTTACTACGTCCCACGAACCCTAAAGACTAAGCCTTAATCGTTGAATCCTAAATCCTGAGCCTTGTACATACCTAGGACCTCCTTGAAAGGAACGCTCAACCCTAAACCCTGAAGTCCCATGAACCTCCAAGTAGCCCTAAGGATCCAAGTACATAATAATCATATACTTACCCAAAATCCGTACTATGATTACTATTACCCAAACCTTCAGTACCCAATTATTGTGTACATGGACCCTTAGGGTAGGGTTTAGAATTATGGTTTAGGGTTTAGGGTTGAGCTTTCAGGACTTGAGGCCGGCTTGGTGTTTCAGTGTAAGTTTATAACGGTTTGTGGGTTTAGGGTTTAGGGGTTCAGGGTCTGGGTTTTAGGGTTGAGGGTCTGGGGTTTAGGGTTGAGGGTCTGGGGTTTAGGGTTTAGGGTCTGAGGTTTAGGGTTGAGGGTCTGGGGTTTAGGGTTTAGGGGTTTAGGATTGAGGGTTTGGGGTTTAGAGTTCACGGCTATAACTGTACCTGTAAGCCAATGGTGAACCCCGTGAGACACCTGTTTTCGGATTTTTAACACCAGGCATAACTGCGTTATAATTTGCCAGAACCCGTATACCCCTATAAACCCTCTTTAAACCCTGTATAGTCCCTAGAAGCCCCTTGTACTTGAGTTATCATTACCTTGAACCTTCAAGTGAGTAGTATTTTATCTGGGGATACTAAGGTACCCATTATAGAGTAAGATTATATCCTCCTTTTGGGGTATAGTATTTCATATAAGGAATATAATCTTACTAGGTTCAATCACCAAAAAAAATCGCTACTCAAGTATGGCCTGGGCTTAGGCTACCTAAGTGCTGGCTCAGACGGGCTGTCTCAGGTTTCCCTAAGGGTCCATGTACCCAATAATTGAGGGATATGTAGGGATATTTAGGGTTTAGGGTTTAAGGGTCCATGTGCCCAATAATTGGGTACTTAGGGTTTAGGCAATAGTAATTATAGTACAGGTTTTGGGTAAGTATATGACCATTAAATACTTGGACCCTTAGGGTTTAGGGTTTACCCCAAGGATTTTTACGGTTCACGGACAGAATCCTGCCTGACCTGTTATACCTAAGCCCTGGGAATAGCGGTTTAACGTTAAACTCCCTAGGATCGTGCAAGATTTTGTCTATCGACAGTATGTTATTTGTCCGTTTCGGGCTTGCTCTATGACTGTTTTGGTAAGGGGCTTTAATATGCTACCCAGAAAGGAACTGCATAGGAGCCTCCGACTAAGGCGGAGGAGATGCTTTGCTGTTCAATGGCACTTTCTCCGTCAAATCTTTGCAGAAACCCTAAACCTTTTTCTTGTTTCCGGGATTGTTTTTCTGGCTGTCAGAAACCTGTCCAAAGTAGGGGGTACGAAGGTCTTTTCAAGCAAGACGGTGTCATGTTGGGACAGGAGACACTCTGGTGCTGCCAATCTCCGCTTTACCATGACTTCGCTGTAGAACCCTGACCCCTAATCTCTAAATGCCTAAGCCTCATTCAGTAAACCCGAGAAATCAAGCCCAGCGGATAGTTTCTGCAGCCCAGGAAATCGACCGAAAGTTCGAGGTAACTGCAACTGCTACACAGAGCCTTCAGGCAATTCAGAGGTGGGCTGGAAGGATGGAGGTCTTGGCTACCTGGACCTTTCAAAACCCTCAACCCAAACCCTTAAAACCCCTAAGACCCTAAACCCCTAAAACCCTATATAAACCCCTAAAACCCAAACCCCTACACCCTGAACCCCCGCACCCTGAAGCCCTAAACTCTAAAGCCTAAAGGGTTGAGGCTCTAAGGCCCTAAGGTTGCGAGCCCTAAGTGTCCAGGACTTGAGGCCCAAAATGCTATAATCTGATTCTGTATGGTATGTGGGGTCTAAGGCCCCAATATTTGGGCTCTATCTAGGTAACTCAGGGGTTCAGAGTTTAGGGTTCTAGGGTTTAGAGTTTAGAGTTCAGGGTAGAGGGTAGAGGGCTGTGAGGACTGGGGTTTCGGGTTAACGTCAACTTATCTTGAACAGGGGTGTTGAGTAGGCCTTTGTTTTTTTTGCGTTTCTGGGTCCTCAGGTATCGAAAAAACTGTCTGCAAAAAGGTGGACCTAAACCCTAAACCCTAAAGTTTTCTAGTCCTAGGATAATTCCTGGGGATCCCAGTGCATCATGGGAATATGAGCGACAGACCTCGAGTTCCTTCTGGTAAATCCCCTCGCCCTCACGACCTTCCCAGTTCCGTTTTTTTTTGGGTTTAGGGGTCCCTACTACACCCTAAAAGCCGTATTATTTGGGTACTTGGCCCTCTAGTAAAGAATACCCGCCAGACTAGGTAACGGTACTGTATTGAGAACATGTATGACTAGGGGGCGGAGGGGGTACTGTCAGGGGAGGGGATTACGTCCAAATATATATATATATACATATATTCACAGTGTGCTCCGCATCCATTATCTCACTACGTATAAAACAAATGCTGACTGTAGCTCACGTGAGGATAACAACCCCAGCAATTAGACGATCATAGATTCATAGTGGTCATGAACGGCTTGAATAGGGCTCTATGGCGTTTTGAGCTTCTACAGTGTAGCCATTCGTGTCCAAGCTTATGTTAATTAATTGAAAGAGCGGGCAGATGACTTTGTTTTCGTGTCTTCCGCATGCATCTAGCTGTAGTGTCTGATTGGCAAGAAGGTTACTTGCGACTTTAACGTACATAAGAGTCTTTTCAATATGGAGTGTGCTCCTGTGAGGACAGTCGAAAATGTGAAGGGCAGTAGCTTACTGAAAATATTGGAAACGCTGAACTCTGGAGCCCAGCATGGGATACACCGTCACTGGCCTGCGATACACTTCGCCAGCACACCCCGGAAAGTAGGTACAACTGTAACCACCCTGAACACCCCGACAATGCCCTGGGCTGGCGAAAGCCCCCAAGCCATCCGTAGCGCAACGCTCATGATGGATTCTGTGCCTTCTGATACACCCCAGTACCCTGTGAAGATCATGTTTGGACCGCAGAACCCTAGTTATGCCCATCTAGTGGCTTTGTTTGTGGGATACCTAATGATATGGCTTGAACATTATGACGAGGAAGTTAGGTATCCCCCAGAAGAGAAGTGCACTAGGGAGTCTGGGTTCCTGCTAGGTTTTCTACCTCCCGCAAAACCGTGTCTAGCTATTTGGGTGACTAGGTAAAGGCAGCCCTAAGAATTGAATCAGGCCGCGAGGCACCGGAAGAGGGTCAGTCAGATGAAAGTGCTGGGGACCTCATACCCCTTCATATTTGGCCCTAAATGGCTCAGAATCCCAAACGCGAGTATAAGGACCCTACCCAATATAACCCTAATATGACCCCAATAGAAACCCAATATAAACCCCATATAACCCCAATATAGACCCCATATAACCCCAATAGAAACCCAATATAACCCCATTATAACCCCAATATAACCCCTATATAACCCCAATATAATCCAAATCCTTCCTGAAGCCCTAAAGCGGTCAGGTGGTGCCCCTAAACTCTAAACCCTAAACCCTTAACCCAATATAACCTTAATATGAACCCAATATAACCCCAATATAAACCCAATATAACCCCAATATAACCCCAATATAAACCCAATATAAACCCAATATAACCCCAATATAAACCCAATATAACCCCAACATAAACCCAATATAACCCCAATATAATCCCAATATGACCCCAATATAATCCCAATATGACCCCAATAGAAACCCAATATGACCCAAATATAAACCGGTCAGGTGGTGCCATGAGTTGTTTGAAGAGGCCATTGCTGCCGAGATGGATGAGGCGGAATTCTTTTCGAGTGTTCGCATCGAGGGCTTCATAAACCCGGAGCCGTACTTAGAGGTCAGGGTTTAGGGTTTAGGGTGTAGGGTAAACCCAGAGCTGTACTTAGAGGTCAGGGATACTACTTATAAAGGCGAATGTAATTACATTAATCGTACTATAGAATGACTCATTCAATATGCCCCCGAAGTCCCTTAACACAATGATACCTGTGTTGTCGTTACAGATACAAGAAGGCTATGGGTACCTTGGACCTCCAATGATATGGAGTTTCCTAGCACAGCGGTGGGGTGGGGGGATTATAGGTATGTATCATTCATATTAGCTATAACCCTTACAATCGCCCCAAACCCTAAACCCCAACAAGAACTCTAACCTGCCTGTGAGCTATAGTCTAAGCTCCTTAAAGGGGGTTATATAGGGGACTATCTAGGGGAGTACTATAGGGCTTATTAAGGGGGATACTAGGAGTTTCGACTATAGCTCATGTAGGCCCTAAACTGAAGAAGCCCCAGACCATGGTAAGTCCGACATCATCCTTCTGCCTAAGCTCTGTGCCTCAACCCTTCAACTATAACCCTAAACCCTTACCCTAAGGGTCCATGTACCCAATAATTGGGTACTCAGGTTTAGGTAATAGTCATTATAGTACAGGTTTTGGGCAAGTTTATGACTATTGAATACTTGGACCCTCAGGGTTATAGTCCCCCTTAAGTAGATAGAATCTGGGGCACATGTTGGAGAAGATGGAATTTACTATTTCGGGTTTAGGGTTAACCTTATGCGCCCAAGTACCCAAGTGATGCGAATCCGACAATCTGAATAGTTGCGGTACTAAAGACATGGAAGCTGGATTTATCTAGTGGTTATAGCTTTCCCAAGGGACTATTAGAGGTCGACATAAGGGCCCCTCTTCTAGTTTGGTATAATCCCTCATACAATCCCTCGCGATTAACCCGTGTCCATTAAACTATTTAGGAACTACTGCTGTAGCTCATGTTTGTTTCCTGCCCAAAGCAATACAGTTTTAAGGGAGTTTGGCACCAAATTCCTGAATACTTGATCCCTTGGAGATGGCATTTCGGGTATCGTAGAATCCTACTTGCGAATATTCTGATCCCATATTGCCTGTATAGTTATGGTATACGGTGCCTCAAATCGCCCCTAAACCCCAAACCCTATATCTAGGACCCCACAGTACTTGAACCCTTTCATGTTTAGAGGGGAGGGGTGAGGTAGTGGGCCGGAAAATACCCTAAACATATCCAAGCTCTCCCGGAAGCATTCCAAAATGGCTGAAAGGGCGACAGAGGCTCAAGAGTCTAGAGTGTCTTAAGTTTTGTGATGTATGTTGAGTTTTCTCTGTTTGGTCTGAGTTTTCATCATTTAAATGAGTTTGCATGAGCTTTCTTGCGTTTTATTTTGGTTTGTTAGTCATTTGCTGAATTTTCCATTTCGGCTGATCTGAGTGGGGCTATGCTCGGTCTGTGGACTTCGGAATATTGGATTGAAAGCCATTCCCTGTGGGTGGATAACTCAACAACTCTACTGTGAACCTTTGGACCACGTCAGCTTGGTGTACTGGCTCTCATAATACGTGTATTCCCTTATGCAGGAGTCACACGCTCCCCTATGGTCTTCTTATGTCGCCCACGGCCACGCGTTTTGAGGAATCCCCACCTAACCTAAATACTGAAACACTAGACCCTAAACCCTAAGGAGCAGCCCAACAGCGGCCCAAAGAATGTTGTGACTGTATAATGTCTATACCTATGGTTAAGGTTAGCGTTTGGGGTTTAGGGGTTAGGGTTTGGGATTTGTTATTCGACTCACAACCACAACGAAAATACATGAACATCCTCATGAATTGTAGCCACTAAATGGTACATAGTTTCCCTAAACATGGGGGACCGAAATATAGACCCCCAAAATACTATGGGGACCCCCCAAAGGTACCCCTCATCTTGAGAAACCCTAAACCCTACTAGATATCGCCATCCTAGAGGAGGAATACGCAGATGTGCCTTTCGAGAAGCTGCCGCTGGATAGCCTGGCTGACACGCACTTGTACTCACTCTTGCTCCTAGGACGGAAGGGTGTAGGGTTTAGGGTTATCCTTTCCCCCTACTAGTAGCCCTCATGCCCCCAATGGTGGATGTTTCCCATATAGTTTTACAACATGTTAGGGGAATACTTTTTGTTTGGCGCTATAGCCCCACTGGTTCGAAGTGGGCTATGACCAGGATACTTCTACTTCTAGAAACGTGGTCCACCCGCCTACAACTACCCATGAAGCTCTAACGAGTAAGCAGTTCAAGTGACAGTCCCAAAGGGTCCATGTAGCTATATGGTATATACTTGGGCCTTAAAGAAGGTATATGGGAACCCCTTTGGGCCCTAAGTATATACCATATACCTACATGGACCCTTTGGGAGTTTCAGCCCTACACTGACGACCCTGCTTCGGTCTCCCGGTAGGTACACATCCTCCTGCTGGATTCCGGGCGGTTTGGGGGTTGGCATTTGGGGTTCAGGATGTTCAGCGCTTAGGTGTTGAGCTTCCTGCAACATAGGATTCCAACTTTCGTGTGGGGTTGAAACCCTTTGGGTTTCTACAGGATTTTGAGGGTTGGGGTTCAGGATGTGCAGGTTCACCCTTCTCTAACCAACTGTCTGGGGGAACTGGTACCCTAAGGGTACAAGTAGCTAAATAGTATGTAATTAGGGCCCAGAGTACCTACATAGGAACCCCTTTGGACCCAAATTGTGCACTATTTGAGTGCTTGCACCCGTGGGGGTTGTGGTTTGAGGGCTTTATGGCCCTTGCGAGGCCTGGAGTCCCATCCTCAAGGACTGATCCGGCTAGCCAAGTTATGACGACCTCACCCGACCTCACCTGAAATGGCGGTTGATGTAGCAAACAGTAACCCCTAAACCCTAAACCCTAGGAGTTTGGAGACTACCTCCCGAACCCTTCTTAAGCTCTGGAGCTTCAAACCAAAACCTTAAACTTCAAATCCTAAACCCTAAGCCCAAAACCCTAAGCCCTAAACCCTACATTCTAAACCCTAACTCTTAAACCTTAAATCCTAAGCCTTAGGTTCTAAGCCCAAGGCACAAGGAGTTTGGAGACTTCCTCCCAAAGCCGCTGCATTATCCAAACAGCTTCAGCCTCAGGACTGCTTGGACGTCGGGCTTAGGCTTTATAGGGTTTATGGGGTTTATAGGGTTATAGGGTTTAGGATTTAGGGTTCAGGGTTTCGGGTTTTAGGGTACTTAGTACTTAGGGTAAGTAGTAGCTACAACAAGGTTTAGGGTTTGGAGTTCAGAGTTCAGGGTTTGGGGTTTAGGCTGGCTACTGCCCCCCATTAACACTTGGATAATATTCACAACATTAACAATGATACAGAGCCCTTAATATTGCCCCTGTTCTAGATTCTTAATGGGACCCAATTAAAGGCTGTTAAGGGTACTTAGGATATTTCGGGTTTAGGGTTTATAGGCTGTTGGGGGTTTAGGGTACTTAGGGTATTTAGGGTTCAGGGTTTGGGGTGTAAGGTCCAGGGTACTCAGTGCTTAGGGTTTCTCACCGGCCCCTACTCCAAAGCACTGAATTTTTGGAAGTCTTGAAATTTCATGGTGACGGTCGGGTTTGACTGGGCCGTCCATCCCTGGAGGTAGGGGGGGACGGAGCCAGCCTAAACCCTAAACCCTAAACCCAGGGTTGTGGGTGGGAGCAGAGTACTGACTAGAAGGGGTTTGTAGTGGGTTCCAAGCGCCCGGAGGCTGGACCAGCCTCGGGGAATATAGAGTATAGGGTTTAGGGTTTAGGGGTTTAGAGTTTAGGGTTTAGGGTTTAGGGTTGAGGGGTTTAGGGTTTAGGGTTATCCATAAGAGTTTTTGAAACATCTTGGGGACTTGTTGAAAAGAAGGGCTGGGGCCCATTTTACCATAGGATGAACCCATTAAGTCAGGAGACTATGGATACATAACCTCCCCCAAACAGACATGGAACCGCAAGCCGTACAAAGACTAGAGTCTTTCCAAAGAATGCTGTATGAGGTTTGGGGAGGCTAGTGCATAGTAGGGCTACCTATAATATTAATTAGTCTACATTCCTCAAAAGCAACCCTCAACCCTCAGGACAGCGGCTGCTGAAATCTACCGCAGCATGTGCGAAGAGCGCGAGCGCGGTGTTTCCACGAAGGTCGTCGCTTGAACCACCTGGGTTGCAAGGTCGTCGATCAGGAGGCCTTCAAAATGGTAGCTGGGGTCAGGGGTTCAGGCTTTAGGGTTCAGCTGGGATTTGCGCGACTGCGGCCATCGCAACTGCCTTGAAATTCTATTGACGCAAAGATGTCATGTTCCATCGGGGCCCAGAGCCCAAGTGTCCAAACTAATGGGGTGTAGTCTGTAGGTCCCAAATACTAGAACATGATTGCGGTGACAAGGGGGTACCTAAAGCCGTAAGGGTCCAAGTACCTGCAGCTAGGGCCTAAAGTACCTTTCTAGGAACCCGCTTGGGCCCAAATATTGATTATTTGAATATTTCTTGACCCTCAAGGCAATCTCAGAATGGCAGTTTCCCAAAAGTAAGGGTCCTCCTGTCAACCCCCAGGATTCTACGGTGGATACTAAAAATCCTGCATGACCCTAAGTACCCTATACCTTGGGAATTATGGTACTATAGTATACTAAGGTCATGCAGGATTTGTAGTATCAGCAGTATATTTACGTAGGGTTTAGGGTTTTTGGGGGCGGCCGAGAAAAGAAACCCCAATGTTCACACGCCCCAAAAGCCTATAAGCCCTAAACTGGGTTGCTGTT